AGATTCTCTCCAGAGGAATGAGAAACCCCACACCCACAATGGCCTCCCCAGCCCAGAATATTGGCGCCAGGAAGAGGAGTCCCCACCACATCTGGTTGTGAAATACAGTTGGGATTCCAACCATTCAGGTGAACAGAAGGCTACAGGAAACCCAGGCATCCTCTTAAAGGGCCTACACACAGACTCTCTCACTCCCAGGCACTCACCTTGGGCTCCAGCGGAGGGACAGTAAATCAGGGAGATGTTGGAGGCATACAAGGGTCAGACTGAGGTGTGTGGCTTAGGAGCAAGAGCTAGAGGACAGCTTCCATTTTCTCTGTGAGGGGGCTTCCTCCTATGCTGCTGGCAGGTGGGAGCCATCTTCCTGTGATGAGCCTCCCACCCCCCACAGGCCAAATCTAAATCTGATTGGCCTGGCAAACTCTGCTGCTCCACCCTGCTGACTCATTGGGATCCCACCTGACACAACTTGACCAACACCTGAGGCACTTTCTCCAAGAGAAGCCTGCACATCTGGCATTGCACTCTTTCATGAAAAAACTATTGGCGTCTGCAGGTCCCAGGAGGGCAGCAGCTGGCCACAATGTGTTCTGAGATATTTGCTGAGTAGCTCCAGGCTCAGCACTGGCACCAAACCAGAATTGATTTAACCAGTTGACCACAATTCTTGCCACTCTGGTGACTCCCTGAGACTCTGCCTCACCCAACTTGAGTATCAACAAGGCTTTATCATGGGGCTGAACCCAAAGGGAACTGACAGGCAGAAACAGGCCTTGGGGTGCCCTAGCATTTTGTGGAGTTACCCCAGGCCTGGTACTTGTGGCAGACATCCTCAGTTTGCAGTGTGGCCTCTCCCATGCACCTACAGGGTTAGCAAAGGCAAACAATCACAGATTTCTTTGTAGCTTTCACCAGGTTGTCTCCATCCAGTCATATGCAGTGAGTGACCTTGGCCTGCACCAGAGCACCTTGCAAGAGGCCCCAGAACCAACATACTTGGATGTTGGATTTAGACCATAACAGAGCAGTGCCCAATTAGCCCCACAAGTGACACAGCTAAGGGGGTAGTCTCAATAGGCACCAGACCCACTGGAGTAAATATCATCCAGTGGGGTAAGCCTCTCGCACAGCAGCATGCAAGCTGCGTTCATGGCCAAACCCCACAGCCCGGCAGCCTGAGGGTCAATCCCACCCACTGTCATACCAATAGCAATCAAAATTCAACCATAATAGGAAGGCACACAAAACTCACAGAAGGGAAACTCCTGAAGCACCTGGAGCAGGTGACTAGGGAGACTATGCCAGGGCCCTATAGAGCTCTTAGTGCATAAGGCCACCTGACCAAGACTGGGAGACATAGAATATCTACCTAATACACAGAAACAAACACAGAGAGGCAGCCAAAATGAGGAAACAAAGAAATGCATCCCAAATGAAAGGACAGGAGAAAAATCCAGAAAAAGAACTAAACAAAATGGGGCAAGTAACCTACCAGATACAGAGTGCAAAGCAATGGTTATAAGGATACTCAAGAAACTTAGTGAGAACTTCAACAGAGAGATAGCAAGCATAAAAAAGGACAGAGAAACCATAAGAAAGAACCAGTCAGAAGTGAAGAATACAATGACTGAAATGAAAAATGCACTATAAGGAATCACCAGCAGACTAGTTGAAGGAGAGGATCAAATCAGCAATTTGGAAGATAACGTAACAGAACACACCCAAAAGGAACAGCAAAAGGAAAAAAGAATCCAAAAAAAATGAGGATAATTTAAGAGACCTCTGGGACAACATCAAGAGTAACAACATTAGCATCATAAGAGTACCACAAGGAGAAGAGAGAAAGCAAGGAATTGAGAGCCTATTTGAAGAAATAATGACTGAAAACTTTCCTAACCTGGTGAAGGAAATAGACATACAAGTTCAAAAAGTGCAGAGAGTCCCAAGCAAGATGAACCCAAACAGGCCCAAACCAAGACACATCATAATTAAAATGCCAAAGGTTAAAGACAAAGAAAGAATCTTAAAACCAGCAAGAGAAAGGCAACTAGTAACTTATAAGGAAGCTCTCATAAGACTGTCAGCTGATTTCTCAACAGAAACTTTGTGGGACAGAAGGGGTTGGCACAAAATATTCATTGTGATGAATAGCAAGGGCCTACAACCAAGATTACTCTACCCAGCAAAGCTATCATTTAGAATCTAAGCACAGATAAAGAGCTTCTCAGACAAGAAAAAGCTAAAGGAGTTAATCACCACCAAACCAGTATCACAAAAAATGTTAAAGGGACTTCTTTAAGTTGGAAAAAAAATCAAAATTATGATTACTAATAAAATAGCAATTGCTATATGTCTGTCAACAATTACTTTCAATGTAAATGGTTTAAATGCTCCACTCAAAAGACACAGAAGGGCTGAGTGGATAAGAAAACAAAACATAGAAGAGAATCACTTCAGATTGAAAGACACACACAATAGGAAAGTAAAGAGATGGAAAAATGTATTTCATGGAAACAAAACAAAACAAAACAAAACAAAACAAAAAAGCTGGAGTAGTAATAACTATACCAGACAAAATCAATTTTAAAACAAAGGCTCTAACAAGAGACAAAGAAGGACCCAGTAATCCCATTTCAGGGTATCTAGCTGAAGAAATCAAAACCCTACTTCAATGGGACATGTGCATCTATATGTTCATTGCAGCATTGTTTACAATGGCCAAAAAGTGGAGGCAGCCTGGGTGTCCATCAGTGGATGAATGGATAAAGAGGAGGTGTTACACATATACAATGGAATAGTGCTCAGCCATGGAAGGGAATGAGTTCTTGCCATCTGTGGTGGGATGGATGGACCTGGAGAGTACTGTGCTGGGTGGAGTGTAAGACAGATGCAATGTGATTTTACTTATATGTGAAATCTAAAGAAGAAAGTAACAAACAAAACAGAAACAAACTCATAGATACAGAGAATATATTGATGCTTGCCAGATGGGAGGGGTTTTGGGGGGTGAATAAAAAGGGGGAAGGGATTAAGAAGTACAAATTTGTTGTTACATAGTAATCATGGGGGTATAGGGTATAGCATAAGGACTATAGTCAATAATATTGTAATAACTATGTATGGTGTCAGATGGGTACTAGATTTGTTGGGGTGATAGGTGGGAGGGGTTGGGGGCAGGGTAAAATGTGAAAGGATAAAGAAGTACAAACTGGTAGTTACAAAATAGTCATGGAGATGTAAAGTAAAGCACAAAGAATATAGTCAATAATATGGCAGTAACTATGTATAGTGCCAGGTGGGTACTAGGCTAGTCAGGGGGATAATTCCTGAAATTATATAAATGTCTAACCACCATGCTGTACACCTAAAATTAATATACAATAATATTAAATGTCAACTGTAATTAAAAAAATTAAAAAGCCAGTAAAAAGGGAAGGGGAATAAAAGGTCCACACTTCCAAGTAGAAAACAAATAAGTCACAGGGACGTAATGTTCAGTATAGGGAATATAGTCAGTAATATTGTGATAGTATGGTATGGCGTCAGATGGTTGCTGGGCTTATCATGGTGATCACTTCTTTAGGTATATAAGTGTAGACTAAATATGGTGTACCCCTGAAACTAATACCGTATTTCCCCATGTATAAGATGCACCCTTTTTCAAAAAATTTGGGGTCTAAAAACGGTGCATCTCATACAGCGGTTGTAGTTTTTTTACTTGCATTTCCCACTTTTTTCATGCTTGTGTTTGCACTCATACAACCACTGTATAAGATGCACCCAGTTTTTAGACCCCACATTTTTCGAAAAAGGGTGCATCTTATACATGGGAAAACACGGCATATTATTGTACAATAGCTATATTTACAAAAATCTTAAAATAAAAAAGAATTATTAAAAAATAAATAAAACAATGAAAAAATAATTTTTGAATGGAATAGCACACCCTTCATTATAGTTCTACTAAACAGGGGGTGGAAAATGGTAAAATAAATGTACTCATTGGTATACTTTTAATGTATAGTAAAATATTAAATATAATGCAATAATGTTAATAAGAACTGTCTGAGTATTATTACTATTATCTCTCTAAGCATGTTATTTTTCATTTCACCCTCCAAAACAACCATGAGCAAATGTTAGTGTAACAAAAAATAAATAAATAAATAATTCATGTACACAATATTCTATACATATTTAGACAAAGAAAAGATATTTTTTTGCATAATCATGAAAATGTCTTTTGATATGAACAAGTCAGAAAGTCAAATAGTATTGTGATGGCTTGAGATATTTGGATAGAACTATCCTTGTCATGTATTTTCCAGTTTAGATTAACATACATTTATTTTATTTATTTTTCTAAATTTTATAAAGAGTTCATTTTAGTAGATTAGGACCAAATAACTGGTCAAATCACAATGCATTTAAAGAATCCATATTATATATCTATCATGATTTTGACGGACTAATAGTAATTTTGAATGGCAGTTTTAATAACATAACTAACTACTGGGCTTAGGAAAGAATTCTTTTTTTTTTCTCATGATATTCTGAAGCAAACATGTTTTGCTTTGTCCATATATATCTACAAATCAACTTCACATTCTCAGGCTCCTCAGCTGTACACTTTACCTTTTATCTATCTTGTGCATTTACTCACACTTTTAACTGATAACCTCACACATTTGAAAACCAGAAATTGAAAATTATGAGCAAATTCAAAAATATATTTTAGACCTATATATTAGGATGAACTCACATAGTAACATCATTATTGCTATATACAAATTAAAATTTTGGAAAAAGTATATTGCTGCAATGTTTTAAGTTGTCAAAGCAGTAGTGACTGAAAAGCTAAACAAAACAAACAGGATATTTTGTAATAATTTTATACTTTAAATGTATTAAGTTATGTTTTCTTACTATACAAATATACAGAAAACAGATGAACCTCTTTTCTTCATAATTCTCTGTCTCTATTTTCTTTTCCTTTTCAGGTGATACAAACATCTACTATTCATGATGTTAAACAAAAATTTCACAAAGAATGTAAGTTTTATACAGACTTTTGAATTTATAATACAGTCTTATTTTAATCAAATCGGTCCAAATGTATCTGTAAGAATAAATTGCAATATTGTGATGGAAAGAGTGTGTGAAAACTGTATTTTAATGTGAAACTAAGAAATAATATTATGCTGACTACCATGAGCATTCTTGTATCTTACTCTCAAATTGATGCTTAATGCTCAACATTTTTTGGTTTTTCACGAAGCTGTTTTCAAGTTCATATTTGAACATTTTTCATTCTAATCGGATACTTCCTATATACAAAATGCTTTAATCAACATAAAGTACTTCTGTATATTTAAGCAAAATATTAAGCAGTTTTTATTCCATGTGTTTATATTTATCAATTTGATTCCACATAGAATACTTTATACATTTAAATTGCATTGTTTAATTTTGTTAATAGGTAAATAAATCTTATTAAGAAATCTATTATTATTTACTTGGGAATATTTTTATGAGGTTAGTTTAAATTAGATTTTTATTTTACAACTTTTTAACAAAGCTTACTCTTAAGTTAAACATACTGAAAATGTTTGTAATTACTAGGGAGCTTTTTTTTTTTAAGATTTTTTTTTTTTATTGGGGAATTGGGGGGATGGGAACAGCGCTGGGGAATTGGGGGAAGGGGAACAGACAAGTTGCTGTTGTTTTGTTCTTCAATCTAGTTGTGGAGGATGTTGCTTCACTGGCCCAAGTTGGCACCATCATTGCGCTCTTCCCATGTGAGGCAGATCAGTCGCCGGCTTCTGGACGGCCGCTCACTGCGGCTGCTGGCCGCTCACGCTGGCTGCTGGCTACATACGGTAGCCCATGGCAACCCACTGCCACAGGGAGTGCAGCCTATGCCGTCGCTGGCGACTCATGGCAGCCCAGCTCCAGGTTGAGCTGTCGTTCAGCATCTTAGCTGTGGAGGGCAGTGTCACTGGCCCTCATATGTGGGATCTGAACCGGGGCCCTCTGGCATCCCAAGCGAGTTCTTAACCATCGCGCCACTCGGCCGGCCCAGGAGCATTTTTTTAAATAAGCTTTTCTTTTACAGCAATTTTAAATTCGTAGCAAAGTGGTATATTCACATCAGAGCGGCATACATTTTTGCAATTCATGATTCTACATTGACATATCATTATTACTCAAAGTCCATAGTTTTTATTGGAGTTCATTCTTGGTGTTACATAATTTATGTGTTTAGCTAGGGAGGCTTTTAAATTCTTTGGATTGAGTTGAACAATGTTTCTTTTCTGAAAATATTCTTAAAGCTCACAAAGTAAAACATTAAATTTTTAATAACACCTTAGAGTAAATAGGTAGAACTGTTTTATTATTTTGCTTCAGGAAAAAATACAGAATATTTACTGAAAACTTTCTGTATATATGGCATTATGGGAGGCATAATGACTAAATAAAGGTAAAAGACATCTGCATTAGCCTTCAAAAATAGCCTCCTGGGTGAGATAATATATATAATATAGATATATATATTGTATTTATATTTATATTAAATATAGAAATCAAATAATGTATCTACAATTTTTAAACATTTTGGGGAAATCTAGAATTTTTAATAAGAACAGAAAGCCTAAGCAGTTTGGAATAGAATTATTTGAAATATGCTTCAAATTCTTGTAGAAGGTATATTCTGATATTTTACTATGTAAAGACATGTAAGATTTGAATATGCAGAAAAAAATTAAAAAGGTATCATAATAAGAAAAACAAAACAAAACAATATAAGAAATCAAAACAAAAGATCTGCCATGGATTAATTCTCTACTTTTAGCATGATAATCAAATTATTTGTCCATTTATGTCAATATTTTATAAATTATTGAAAAATATTTTCAACTCCAAATTTGCATCTTATCACATAATCTATGTGAACCATTTTACCCTCTTTTTCCCCATAAGCATTTCCAGTTTATTTACATTCTAAATGCATTTGTTTCCAGTTATTTATATCTTTGCATAAAATATGGTTCTCATTAAACTAGTATTTAATTAAACTCTGGGAAGATTTAGATCAATTTTATACAATACAATGGTTTCAGAATATTTAGATTGTAGTAATAAGTGAAAAGATATTTGAAAATGACTTTTTTAGTAGAAAGTAGAATGATGCAAGAAAATATTTGCATTTAAATCAATATGACAATAAACGAGGAAATGAATCAAAGGCTAATGTATGTGTAGAAAGAATTTGCAGTCACCTTGATGTGTGATTCTATGACTACTTTTATGAAAGCTTGTATCTACATATAGACATATATATACATAACAATTACACAGAATACTAAAATTTTAGAGCCAGAAGTTCTGTATTTATGTGTTCCAGAGACTGATTTCTATGTATTAGGAAAGTGAGTTAGGTAATTTGTGCAAAATTCGAGAACAGTCCAGTTTCAAAAATGGGCAATTGAATATATGTCAATAATATGGTTAGTTTTAATAGCTATATCAAAGCTTAACTTTTCTTGACAACTACTATTTTACCTTTCTAAGCTCAGTTCTAATCTTTAACAATTTTTCATAAATTGTAATGTTTTTCACTTTTTCAAAATTACCTTTATCTTGAAAGTATATCTATTACTTAAAGAAAAATAATATTCAGGAAATTTTGTCTTTATTATACTATATTTTAAAAACTTATTGGTCTTCAGGTTCTACAAAACACAGAAAAACAAAACCATTTCTTTGCTTGTATTACATTACAGAAAAGTATCTCAAAGTTAATTAAATTCGACATTACATTTTATATATTTTCCAAAGAGTAAAGGAAACCAAAAAAATGTTAACTCTAATAATATGTGACTGTATGTACAATGGTAAAAAAAAAAAAAGAATTATGTGTTGATTGCCTTCATATTTTATCTCTGTAGCATATTTTAAAACCAGGTAACATTGAATATTTTATTCAAGATTATAAATATATCACAATAATATACATCATAACTTTGTTGTATATGTGGTTATATTTATATAATTACAATTGTTAGATTTTTATGAACTTCTTCACTTTCTGACACCGAATTATTTTGTATTATACCATTTCCCATGGAGTTTATTTTCAGGCCTGGAGTCATAATAGGAATTGTTAATCTTGTAAGAAAACAAACAAACAAACAAACAAACAAACAAACAAACAAAAACTGTTATCAGAAGACTGGTTTCCTGAGGAGAGAATGCCCCTTACATGTCTTTTATCTGTCACCTTTGCTCTCTAAGGTGTTCTGAATGATCTTGATTTCTTGTCTGCCTACTATTTTTCTGACTTCTGTCAGCTTTACATTTTTCTTAGTTTTGTTTTGGAACTTTTTTATTGTGATTTTTCTTTTCCTGTAAAATGACATTCATATGTTTTTCCAAGGATCATAATTTTTCAGTTCTGCTTTGTTATAAGAGTCATATTTTAGATTACCCTGGTGACACCAGTAATCAGACTGGTGAGGAAATGGAAAGGGAGGAAACTACAATTGCAATCTTAGCTTTTAAGGCAAAAGGGAAAGAGAGATGTTTTTTATGAAAACGAAATAGCTATTCAACTATAAATTATATATGTGCATATGAGTACACACAAATATATTACTTTCATCTATTTCTCCTCTTCTCATTTTAAATACCAAAAATGGTGAAATGCCCTCAGCTACAAATCCTCCACTGGTCTTTCTTTATCTCCGTCTATTTATCCATTACCCCTTAAAAGTATTGTACTTGCTTGTATCTTGAAGTCTCTCCTGGAGTGCTTCAGTCATCTTCACATTCATATCTCTATATATCACCCTCTATCCACTCCCATCTTCTCAAAAATGTTCCAGAGAGGAATTAAGCCTTTTCAAAACTGAGCTGAAAAACTGGGAATTATATAAATCTAGGTGACAATCTGACTAAAAATTATGTGAATATTTTTCTAAGAATATTATCAGAAAAGTTTTTTTTTAAAACTACATACACACACACACACACACACACACACACTTCTTACATATTCTTGCTGAGGAGCATTACCTTATTTCATGTTATTCATTTCAAACACTATTCCATATATTCTTTATTTTAAGTGCAATTTACTCTCTCTTGGGATACAGTATGGCTTTATTAGAATAATAATTGTAAATATTTTTGGAAAATAATAGAACTTACAAGAAGCCACAGGCATCTATTATACAGATATATATATATATATATATATATATATATATATATATATATATATATACACATATATATATACATATATATAGTTATATGCTAATTTAAATCTATAATGATGTATTCAATTTTGTGGATTTAATTACTCAACAATCAAAATATTTGCCAGAATAACAAGTAAATTCCAGCGAAAAAAATCTTGTCTGAATGTTAAATGTGATTTTGCTATTTTTATCATACTAGAAATGACTTAAATTCCTATAGTTTACACCTCTAAAGAGAGGGATGAATGTGATAGTATTCATTGATAAAATACACAATGTATTAATAAAAATAAAGAATTGTCAAAGCAAAAGTATAGGGAACATAGTCTTTAGGAGCTGTCATTCCTTGTTTTAAACCAAGGAATCTCTAACAGAAACTAGAAAATACCATTGCTGTACAAAGTTGTATAAAGGTAGTATTTCAACTAAATAGCTTTTTAAAAAAACAACCATTTCTTTAAAATTTTTAAAATTTCTATGGATTTTGTAGCTAAAGATGGTTCCCTATTACAACAAGATAAGGTGCTGTGAAGGCATTTCAATATCATGCATAATCTTTAAAAACAAAATAGCCACAGACCACTTCTATGATTGTTTAGTGGAGATAAATACCATAATTATAAAATAATGAAAATCTCACTTTATTGTTGGGTGAGATATAAAGTCCAATGAAGTTTTCAAGAATACTGAATGAGATTCAATTTTTATGAAGTAACAAATCATATAGCATTTAGTAAATATTTTCAAAGTTATATCAAAATTTATATTTTCAAAGCTTGTACATAATTG